CCCCAAAACCCCAAAACCCCAAAACCCCAAAACCCCAAAACCCCAAAACCCCTTAAATTAAAGAACTATGGAATCTAGACTAGCAACTAAATTATTCAAATGGGTTTTCTTCCTCTGTGGCCATGCTTGCCATTGAGATGTTAGAAAATCGGTGCTGCTCATCGTTTATATTTTCAGGCTGTGTCTCATAATCTCTTAATCTGTTAAAGCAGAACTGATAGATATAGCCTAATTGGTTAAACAAGCATCCATGGTTCCTGTGGATATACAAGTAATTTTTGGTCTCTTTATCCAAAACCCTTTTATAGATGTACCTATATTTATGAGAGTTCTTTGTCTCATTTATAGTCTGCCTTCTTCCAGTAGCGTGCACAATCCAGATCCAATTTTGGAACACAATTACATTGGCAATTTGTATTCCGAAGAAGAAAGTAAAATAGAACAAACTCTGAGAGGCTAGCCTGAGAATACAATCAAAAGGCCTAAAGTAAAGAATGACTGGACTCTTGTGCCAATAGGTATTCACCAATCAATAGTTGTATAGTGCAATGAGTATCAAATTTGAGGTAAGCCAGAGGAAATAGAAATTAGCATTTCCTTGACCAATCGGCTGTCTAATAAAATCTCAGAATTTTTGATATTCTATGACATATGAATCACTCTCTGGGCAATACTCCCCATGCTTAATTTTCCTAATGTTTGTATCAAAGCATACTTCACTGAGAGGAACTATCTTTGGGAAATCACCAGATCTATAAAAATTATTAAGTTTTGCTAACTTTTTTATGATTAGCTTACCTTTGATGATCTGTATCATCAATAGACTTAAGTATATCATTAATAATGCTGCCTTCTTCCCCAAATTGCTTCTTTGGTACCACCATAGGTTCTGTTTTGATCAGCCACATGAACAAGGAAACTCATATTGGAATGAATATATAGAAGGCTAGATTCCTCATAGCTGTATAAAAAGTGCTCCTCTCCCCAGACACAGATGTATAATGCCAATGAGTAAACAGCATTCAAAGCAATAAAATAGTGTACAACAGCTGAGGTAAGAAATTTGAATATTTTTGGTAGTAAAAACTAGCAACTTGTTTCATGAACGTTCTATTTCTTTCAAAATTATTTCTGACTTCACTGAAATCTACTCAAGACTCTAACTTTTGCTTATATTTTCACTTTAAGAACTCATTGTAAAAGATCTTATCGTCTAGGTACCTCTGAATAAACTCTTCAGGATCATTACCCTTGTAATCACGTGTATAAAGATCTCAGTTCTGGCCAATCAAAAACTTCATGATTTCAATATTCTTGTTATAGAAAGACTTCATTATAGGAGTTTGCTTCAAGGTATCTTCTTTGTTTATAAATTCTTGCAAAAGTCCTTCCTGATGAAGAATCTTTATGATCGGTAAAGATCCAGAATAAGCAGCCCAATGCAGAATATTGCATCCCTTTTTATCCAAAACTCGAATATTTGCTTTGCAGTGAAAATAGAGATAGATAAAGCAAATCACAGAATTTTTGGAAGCAGCATGCATAAGAGGCGTCATGCCTGCTGTGTCCGCCTCTTCAAGAGATGATTCATCACAGTTTTCATATAAATATTTTAATGTTTCGATCTCTCCGCTTCCTGAAGCATAATGAAATACATTGAGACCTTGAAAATCTTTTGCTGTCATGTCAGCTTCACAGACCTCATTTATGACCCTCATGGCTTTAATATTTCCAAAATGGGCGATTAGATGAATTGCTCTTCTTCCAATCTGTGGATCAATGACAACATCCTTATTGATAAACCCTCTTTGAATACAAGCTAGCAGAGGTTTGAACTGGCCTTCAATTCAACTTTGGACTACATTAATCACATTATTAGGATCAAAGTTTTGTGCCGGTTGCCTTAATGCATTTTCTTTCTTTGGAGTCGTATTTTTCTTTAGATGTTGGGATTGAGGTTCAATTTCATTAGAAATTTTATGCATAACCTCATCTCCCATATTATACCCTTCTTCTTCAGTTTGAGTATCATTCACCTGCGCATATCCATCAGCTGCATCCATATCCGCTCCATCATGAGCATTATCTAACTCAACAGTTTCATTATAAATATCATTCCCAGTCTCCTGCTCCTCACGCTCCCCTTCAAACTCCTCTTCCTGCTCTCCTTCATCCTCTTCACCTTTGGTCTCTTCCTCAGGATCTGAGTTCTGCTCAACCTCTGCACTATCACCAAATCCCTCTTCCTTTTTAGTCGGGTCCATTATTCAAATTATATAAAAAGTCACGGGGTTTTGGGGTTTTGGGGTTTTGGGGTTTTGGGGTTTTGGGG